CTGGAAAAAGCTGTACTGGCAGATTTCTTTTTCCTTCATTAAGCAATGACCTAGCGTAGAACAATGTACTGCTCACAGCAGCTGTCTCATTCTTGAAATCACAAGCAAAGTTTAAAAACACTGTCTATAATGGAAATGTATGTGCCCTAGACCAGGTTACCATAAACACATCCAGTAAGCATACCTGTCATGCTTCCTATTCTTTGCTGCACAATTTATTTTTAAAAAATTTATAGAAAAACCTATGATTTCACTTCAGTTAATGTGTTTGTACATATGAACTGACATTAGGTACAGCAATGAGGCTGCACACCACACCTAACACGTGCACATTTCTTGTTTGTACTTCAAACACAGAGACCCATGTATAAAACACACAAAAAACACAGATAACTGAACAATGTTTCTTTAAAAGTGCTGGAATCCATTAATTGGTAGCATTCTCTAAGAGTTTACAAAAAAATTAAGATGGATACATTATAAATGTAAATTTAGGAGCCTGGAACTGGATGCTGGGTTGGAGCCTCAGCAGCACCACATAAAAGTAAATAAACAAAATAGGGCTTTGTGTCCATCTACAACAACAACAACAAAAATCTTTTACATATAAATTTAGGACAACCAAGTAAAAACATCTGAAATCCACTTTGAGATTAAAACAATGTAATTCATATATTACTGTCCTCTTATATTCCAGATTTTGAACTCATCAGTAGCTTCTGTTTTTGTTTTGTAACATAGTATATAAGCTTCTAAATTCCCCCAAAACATCAACTCACATAAAAGTCGTTACTAACAATTGTGCAGAAGATTAAGGGTTCCTAAATGCTTTTATCAACTTCAAGTACAATGTTGTGCCTAAAGTAAGAACAATACACTCAGTCATTTTAAACACCATCCTCTCCTTTTTATTTTTTTTCCTACAAGAAAATTGTAGATAAAATAAGATTGGTTCAATTTCATGCAAAGAAACAGCAGAGGCACTCCTAGAAATTCTGCCACCTATTGCTCAAGCGCTCTTTGCTTTATAAAGCACTGGAGTACAGCCACCATGCAATTCTTCATAAGTTGAAATTATAATTAGATAAAGAGGACAAGGTCATCTTATGTGACCTATTAAACTTCAGTTTGATAATTAGTACTTCCATAAAAGTCATCCCAGGAATTCATTTGATTTACAAATTTAATTCCTCTTACTAATAAAATGGCAACCACACAAGCCTCTGCAGGGCCCAGGTGCACAGAGGGCCTGGTCCACCCCTTTTCGGGCGGGGCAGACACTTGCCAGAGCCTAACCTCTGGTGCAGGGCTGCCCCCTCTGATCAGCAGACTACCAAAGGAGCCAAGATCCATCCCAGAAGGCCCACATCAGCCCACATGGGATCCAGGATATCAGTAGGCAGGGTTCACCCCTCCCCAAACAGGGCAGACACTGCCAGAGCCTAGCCTTTGAGGCAGGACTGCCCCTTCCTACCAGCAGACTACTGTTGGAGGTCAAGCCCAACAGCCCAGATGCCTCTGCAGGGCCCAGGCACACAGCATGCCTGGCCCAGCCCTTTCCCAGTGGGGCAGACACTTGCCAGAGCCTAGCCTCTGGTGCAGGACCACCCCTTATGACCAGCAGACTACCATGGGAGGTCAACCCCAGTGGCCCAGATCTACCCACTCCAACTTATGCAGGTCCCAGATCCAGGATGCAGCAGCATCCACTGAGGGACACCAGCAGGGTCTGGAAGCCCAACATCAAGGTGAGCTACAGACAATTTGTAGGGATACTACAAGAATATAGAGAAGAAACTGTAATATCTCAGATCCACACTGCAAGAAAGGAAAACACATAGACATCATGAAAAAACAAGTGAGAAAAATGTCCCAAACAAACCAGGACACTATAATAACAGAACCCATGGATAGTGGAGAAGGAGTTCAGAAGGTTCATCATTAAATTGATCTGTGAATTAAAGAATGACCTAAAAGAGCAAATACAAGCAAAAATTGATCACTCCAACAATGAGATAACAGAGCAAATACAGGTAGCAAAAGATTACATCAAGGGAGATAAAAAAAACAGTCAGAAATCCTTGAAATGAAGGATTTAATGAATACAATAAATCAAAAAACTCAACAGAAGGCATAACCAATAGACTAGATCACTTGGAAGAAAGAATGTCAGATAACGAAGACAAAGTTTACAATCTGGAAAATAAAGCTGATCACACAGTGAAGAAATTATAAATATCAAATAAAATTACACACAGGAAAGAATTAGAAAATTATCAAACTTTCTCAAACAGTAAAATTTTTCCTTGATCTATATTGTTACTATTAAACAAAAGAATATTTTGCATGAGTTTGAAATTTCTATCCTGTGCTTTGTGTTCGATGCCTTCCCTGAACTGGTAAGAAATTAGGTGTTTTTTTTTTTTTTTTTTTTTTTAAACTTCACAGTGGGCTATCGAATGCACAGAAAAATTAAACAAAACAAGGTACCCAGTTGTGGCCACCTCCAAACACAGTATTGAAACTGCTGGTCTATTGACCATCAGTTTTCAGTATATGAAACATTTTGGGGGTTGCAACTATATGTTTTTAACCTATCCTAGTAGTACCTCAACAAAATTTTGACTGAATGTATGAATAAATTTGAACATAAAATTTAGATATTTTTAATTAACGATAAATCTGAATGGAGATTTGGAGACACAAAATATGTGCTCAAATCTTATCTTAGGAGAAACAAACACTTCTGTAATTCCAGTGGCTCAGGAGACTGAGGCAAGGGGGTCACAAGTTCAAGGCCAGCCTCAGCAACTTAGTGAGGCCCTAATCAACCTAGTGAGACCCTGTCTCAAAATTTAACAAACAAAATAAAAATGAAAATAGGTCTGGGAATGTGGCTCAGAGGTAAAAGCCCCTCTGAGTTCAATCTCTTCTACCACACACACACACAAAAAAAAAATCACAAATTACATGATTTTGAATTCCACCTCAGTGCAGTTTCCCATCTGAAAAAACAAAGGGCAAACACCTATGTATTTCATAGTAGCTGTAAAGGCAAAATAAAGTAATAAATATGAAAGTCCTTTGTATATATTTTTAAAAAATGATATTTGAGCTGGGTGTGGTGGCCCATGCCTTTAATCCCAGTGGCGTGGGAGGCTGAGGCAGAAGAATTGCGAGTTCAAAGCTAGACACAGCAAAAGCAAGGCACTAAGCAACTCAGTGAGACCCTGTCTCTAAATAAAACATAAAAAGTAGGGCTAGAGAAGTGGCTCAGTGACCCAGTGCCCCTGAGTTCAATACACATACCAAAAAAATAAATAAAAAAAGATATCTGCTGTTATTATACTACATTATATACATGTAGAAATACATGCATGAAATTTACAAAATCTAAAATCTTTTAAGATGCAACATGACAACTTACATTTAAAATATTTCCCCAAATTAAATGAAGCTTAACATTTCTCTTTAGCCTACAAATAAACTCAACCAAAAATGTATATATATATATCTTTCTTCAAATGTATATATATATATCTTTCTTCAAGCTTTTTCTCTTCTCAAGCAAATATTGTCAAAGAATGGACACCTATGCCTCCTCTTCCTCAATGCACCAACATCTGACCTGGCCACCACTGCCTGCAGAACAGCTTCAATACAGCCAAGCCATTAATTTTTCTTCTCAGCTTTTGCTTTATTTTACACCTGAAGATTTCTTTTTCAGCACCTCTCATAACTATGTTGGTTTCTTCAAAACAGCAAAACCCTATTTATTTCTATAATTATTTTTTGTAACTGGTTCAGCTTCTTGTTCGTCAAATGCAGGTGTTCTATGAGGTTCCATACTTGTACCTCTAGGTTGCTCACCCTATTTTTTTTCTTAGATGATCAACTTGCTCCAACAGACTCAGGCATCCTCTTGACATAGCCAACTTCTAGATCCATATGTTTGTCTCAAGGTACCTTCGAAATATTTCCATCTGCATGGTCTTCATTCTGTTTGAAGTGAAATTCACTACCTTTCTCCCTTCTCTAAAACCTCCTCCCTTCCTTTGTTACCACTCATGGTAGTTGGTGGAACAAAAATTCTAGAGTCATCAATGACTTCTCCACTCTTGCACCCTTCTCATTTCCATGATCTATTCACATAATCTATTGATTCCATCTCTGAAGTGTCTCTCTAATGCATCTACTCTCTTTTCCATTTTAATGTCTACTGTCTTTATTGGGGCTTAGTTATTTCTTTTTTGAAATATTTTCACTGCCTCTTATCTAATCTCTCTGGTTTAGGTCTCTCAAAATTTGAATCCGTCCTGTGAATGGATGACAAGGAAATCAAAACACTCCTCTATTTTTGATGCTTTCACACTATCTGGAAAATAAAGTCCAAACTCTTCGACATGGCATTTGGGATCCTGCTAATCTATTTCTAACCTGTTTTTCCACTCCTAACTCTGGCCACTCTGTTCTCTCTCTAGAACATGTTATAAACTTTCACAATTTCATGCCCTGGATCATGGTGTTCCCTCTACTTGTTATGGTTGTTCTTCATTTTGGGTCTATGTATATGTCATTTTCTCTGTAACACTGTCTGTGATTGCCTTCTTTCTACTGTTATTAAAAGTACATTTTAGTTTCAAAAAGTGTTCATCTCCTCTACTGCAGTAGGCCCAAAGGGAAAAGTCTTACTCATTTTGATTCACTTTGATAGCACAATATCTGACAAAGACAGTATCTACTAAATACTAAACTGAGCAGACCTATTCCTCATTTCAATAGGCTATACCAAAGAATCATTTTCATCTGTAAAACATCATACTTATACTGATTATTTTGTCAGTTTCATTATAATGTCTTTCTTTCTTGAACTGAGGATTGAACCCAGAGGTGATTTAACTATATCCCCAGCCTTTTTATTTTTCATTTTGAGACAGGATCTCACTGAGTTGCTAAGGGCCTCAGTTGCTGAGGCTGACCTTGAACTTGTGCTCCTCCTGTCTCAGCTTCCCAAGTCACTGCAGTTAGCAATAAAGTTCAGTGAAAATCATTTGGCTTTGGTAATAAAAGAGAAAATGTACCCTAAAGATGAATTATCCATTGTAATCCTCTTGGTTTTACATAAATCAAATAGTAGTTTTTCTCTTGCATTCAGTTTGGAAGGACACAGGAAGTCATTAAAAAATCCAGTCAAATGTCTGTAAAATACAAAGAAACATAATATAAGACCTTTACTAGCATTATTAGAATACCAAGGTAGGAATCATAATGCCTATCAATTTTTACATATTAAAAACCTAAAGATATTGTAAAGTCTAAACGTAGTATTACTTCAACGAAAAGTAACCTTAGAGAAATTGCATATATGCTAAAGGGGCAGTGTTAAATCAATGTCATGAAATATTTTTGTATAACTCTGAAAAAAAATCTAATAAATACTATTTTAATGAAATTACTCTATCACTGTGTGTGATATAGTTTGTCAGCAAACTATATCCTGTGGGCAAAATGTGGTTCCTCACCTGTTTTTTGTTTAAAAAAAAAAGTTTAACTGGCACACAGACACACTCACTTCTGTTCTGTCAGAGTCTGCTTTTGCTCCACATTGGCAAAGGTGAGTAATTTAGATAGAGACTGAATATCACACAAAACATAAAATATTTACTATCCGGCCCTTTAAAGAAAAATCTGGTCAACTCTACTATAGATAGCAGTTGGAAATCTAGCTGAAAACTAACTCAATTTGTATATTGTGGATTTCTTTTTATTCTAGAATTTAGAATCTTTATGCAAAGATATCATTTCAACAATTTTTTTAAAAAAGCATAAAGATGATATGATAGGAATGTATAGATATCAAGTACATAGTAAACACAAAGAACTTACATACAGGATTTTTTAAAAAACTAAATCAGTTAATTGTAGTACTTTTATTATAAGCCTGCCCGATTATTCACTAATTAGGAAAAGGAATGGCTCATTTTTATAATAGAATATGTTACTACTACAGTCTCATTAAAAAAATATTCTTTTTATAGGAATAAAAGGGTAAAATTATGTATACTTAATTTTTTAAATAAGGGGAGAAAAAGGTTGACAGAGGAAGAAGAAGAGAGGAAAAGAAAGAAGGAAAAAGAGAGGGAGTCAGAGAAAGAGGCAAGAGAGACTGGAAAGGAAGGGAGAACCCAGTACCTCATTCTCTAATTGATATGAAGCCAATCTGTGTGCCAAAATTAAGGCCATCTCGGACATGGGAGAAAAATTTGTCAGGATGGCAAGATGTACAAAGGTTGAGATCCTGGTTCAGGTCGTGAATATTCTGTGGAAGAATTCCTCCTTGTTCTAGAAGAATCCTTAGGATAAAGATTTTTTGAAAGAGAGCAAGCATTTATTTTACCAAATGCCCAAGAAATATGAAAATAGTATGTAAAACAATGTAAAAGAGTTCTATAAAAAATCTGGCAGGAATAATGCAAATTGTTACTTATGTACACAACAAGAACTAGCTAAGAAATGGTAGATTTTTATCACCTAAATTTATAAATGAACTGTATGAACTTCTATACTGTCCTGTAGACATAATCTGGTTACAGAATTTTATAATCAAAATCAAGGGCTAACTTAAGAAGAAATTTTTCAAACTACAAGAGTATTTTTAACCAAGATTTATTTGGTTTATAGAGAGTGTGCTTTTTAGTGATCTAACAGTCTGGTCTCCTTTCCTCTTAATTAGCCGTATTTTTCACTGAAAACGTGTTTCCCTATAAAACTTTATGATATGAAATATGAATGAAAATTAGTGATATTATTTGACAAGTCAAATCAAGAATTAATTCCAATTCTTTACACTTAGGTATTAAGTGAGTAAGGTTTTACTGACTGGAATAAAAACACAATTCAAATCATCTATCAATTTCCTTTGTAGAAATAACAAATATTTTTCAAAAGACAATAAAAGCAAAATTTTTTAAATTCAAGATGCATGAGACCACAAAAAAATGAAAAGTGGCTTTGTATTTATATTACCTGATATTGTTTCGAAAACATATATCCTTCTAATTAATTAGAAAATATGAACAATTTTAAAATATTAGCTTTCTAAATGTTTTTATATTCTAGAGAGTTTACCTAAGGAATAACTGTAATGTCAAATAAATGCCAGTATTTCTATATGAAGTAGAAACTGAATCTTTTTCAAGGCCAGCTGTTTCTTCCTTCATTTTCAAATCAATGAGAGACACCAGATAAGAAATTTAATGTCATTTGAACAGGTTGAGAATAGATTTTATATTTAAAATGAGTTTTTGTGTAGTGTAGTGTGTTGTGTAGTGACTGCAGTGTATATCTGCCACCTGTCTTCTTGGAGTTAGCAGTTGTTCTCTAAAATAATTTTCATTTCAGAAGCAATAAACAATAATCAAACTTGCAGTTCCACAGTGAAATCAAACATACCTGGTGGCTTTACGGATGTCAATATGGGGTCTGGGTGAGTTAAAAAGTCGTACGCACTCAGGATGAAGATTATGAAATGCGTTTGCTGATTCCCTGGGAAGAGTAAAACAGCAAGGTCCTACTGAAGGTCCCAGTACAACAATAATGTCTTCTAAGCTACAGCCATATTCTGCTATCATAGCATTCACTGTAGCCATAGCAACTCCTAATAAAGTACCTTTCCAGCCTGGTAAACAGGAAGAAAAAGAGATAAGGAAGATTACAGCATAAAATTTCAACTCAATTTGTGTCTAACTTAAAAATGAATAGATTCAGTTTCTGATTCACATAATTATTACACAAAGTACTTTTTCCAAAGTGAGATGTACTATTACAAAATACAATGACACAGAATAGCTATTTAATGAGAGTCACTGTCCTCTTCCTTTAAAATTTTCTATATGCTTCATTTATACCATCTTAGTCTTCTCTCTTTACAAAATATTAATTGTGGTAAGAAACATATAAAATGTACCATTTTAAGTGTACAATTCAGTAGTATTAAGTATATTTACCATGTTGTATAACCAACCTCCAGCAGAACGTTTTCATTCTGCAAATCTGAATCTCTATATCCATTAAATAACTAATTTCTCCCTTCACTTAGTCCCTGGTGTCACAATTCTTCTTTGTTTCTACAAATTTTATTACTCTAGATACTCCTATAATTGAAATCACATAGTTTTTATCTTTTGGGGAGTGGCTTATTTTATTTAGCATAACGATCTCAAGGCTCATTCATGATTTAGTATATGTCAGAATTTCCTACCTTTTTAAGGCTAAATAATATTCTATCGTGGTATACCACAATTTGTTCACTCATTCACCTGTCATTGGATGTTTCGTTTGCTTTCACATCTTAAGTATTATGAATAATGCTGCTATAAACATGGGGCGGTATATGTCTTTTAGATTGTGCTTTCAATTCTTTTAAATGTATATTCAGAAATATAGTTGATAAATCATATGACAATTTTATTTTGAAATTTTGAGGAATTGCCATACTGTTTTTGGAGGTGTGAGTCATTTAACATTGTTCCTTTTTTTTTTTTTTTTCCTGAGATTGTTGTAACTATCAGGAGCCCTCTGAGATTCCATTGAAATTTCGAGATGGATTTATTTATGAAAAAGTGCCTTTGGGATTTTGTAATTAATCTGTAGACCACTTCAGGTAATACTGACATCAATAATAAGTCCTCCAATCCATGAACATGGGATTTCTTACCATTTTTTTGTTTCTTCTTTCATTTCTTTCAGCAACATTTTGTAGTTTTCATTTCTACCTCACTTTCTATATGTAAAACAAGTCTATTTCAATTAACCTTCCCTTTTACAAACTTCCCTTTCTCTTTGTTGGATCCTGTGGAATTCTAAGATTAAACCATTCTCCTTCTCTCATCTACTTCTGGAAGACAAAAACTAAACAATGTTGCTTTTTTCCTTTATTCCCTATATTGGGAGTAAGATTCAGCTGATTTAGGTGGACAGTAAGGAGCCCCCTTACTCCTTCCTTCAACACTCCATATGTATATGCTTCTAAAACTAAGCACTCAGGTGAAGAGACCAATCTTTCCAGATAAAGGAAGGAGATGATGAAAGCAAGAAATATTTAGATGATAAACTTCTCCAGGGAACCCACTAGATATGTGGTTTATGGAAAGAACAGAATGAAATATCAGATTCTAGGTAAGTAAGTGGATTATCAGTGGCCAAAATAGGAAACCAATGTGGTAGAGAAGGCATTAGGAAAAACATATTGCATTTTTAACATGATGATTTTCAGCTACCTCTGAAATTACAGGCAGTGATTTCAGAAGAAAGCAACTATAAAAAAGCATTCTGAGCTAAAAAAGAGATATTGTCAAGGCTTTTAATGGATAAGAGCATCTCTCTGCCTTGGAGGCCTTCCTTAATTATTCACACACATATAATATATTCATCTTCTCTCTATTTGTTTCTTTCCTGAAGGACATGCATATGCAAATATATACATCTGGCTGAAGAATTTTTATTAAATTAATCATACAGAAGAATGTTATACTTTCTCTGATATCTGATAAAATAATTTCAAGGTTAAAAATTATAATGTGAAAGTTCACTTTTATAACTTCATTTTGACTGCTTCATCTGAGACACCTTAAAACTAAACATTTCAAAACATTATTATTTATCATATTACATTGTCAAAAGTTGTTTAAGTTTTGAATCTCAGTTCTTGGTTTTAAAAAGGAAATATTATTTAATAATAATTACTTCTCAACCAATTCCATTAATTTAGTTAGGTCAAAAGAAAAACATGTCACTTTCTTCTTTATAGTCTAAATATCAAAGTAGTCACAGATTTACAACTAATAGGGAATTCAAAACATCATTTCTCATTCCACATAGAACCATAACCACAGGAAAATCTAAATATTATTTCAATACCTTCACACAAAAAAAATTCTGTAACCTTAGTATAGCATCTGAAAGTACATCTGTGCTCTTCAGCAACAGTTATGGTTAAATACATATAGCTTTTTAAACTAAAAGCAGTTTTCCAAACGTGTCTTGTTTTTTTTAACTCCCTACTTTTACATCTGTCGCTACATCTGCGTGAATTACTTTCTACACCTGCCTGACATTCCTACTCTCTGGTGCCTGGATATCAAGGGTCCCAAACAGAGGCAGCACCATGTCCCTAGGCAGTGCTTAGACAAGCATGGAGGGTTGCTATTTGATTATTGCAATGACTGGGGGTACTAATGGGATTAAGAACTGCAAGGGCCAAAGATACTTTCAAGGGCACAGTAGGATTATCTTACCCCCTAATGTTAATAATATCCTTGCTTGCAAACACTGACACTAAAGGATCCTTAGGAATCTACCTAGAGACCATCTCCTTTGGGAATTCTACTCTGATTCATATCATTTGACTTATATATTCCCTTTATCTGCTCCTATAATAAGAGTATGCCGCCCCACCCCTATCACAAAGTAATATAATTAACTGTCACACCCACTAGAAAAATTTATTTCCCTGTATTAAAAATTTAGGAAAAATCCTAAATGCTTAATTAAGTATACTTACCAGAGTGAGCAACCCCACATGCTTTTTTGACAGGATCTGCGAAAACTATAGGTATGCAGTCAGCACCAGGAGCTGCTATTGTGACTCCTCTCTGGTTCGAAGTTATTCCATCAAAAGATTCAGGCTCCTTCCTTCCCATAATCCAGACTTCATTGGCATGATCAGTCTAATACCAAAGATACATTATAAAAAGGTTTTGAAAATTGGGTTTCTCATATCATAAGCTTTTCTGTAAGTACTTATTTGAGTGCAAAATTACATAACCAGCATAAATTACTAGAATTCAATAAATCTATCATTTCAATACAAAATACTAAATGCAATATCTCTGCATATTTTATTCAAAGGAAACTAGGTCTTAACACTTAAGAGTTTAATAAAATTCATCGTGAAGACCTTATACTTGAAATGGGTACTAGTCTTCCAAAAAGTAGAAATTTAACATTTTAATGAGGAATTTAATCAACTATCAAATTAATTTTGCAATTATTTTTCCTAGACTCAAATCAAGCTAGAATTTTGTAAGGAACAAGACATTATTCCTTAATTATGATGCTAGGTTTTAGAAAATAATGGCTTTTCTTTCCTACTCTTCAGGACTCTTTCTTCTACAACAAAAAGGGCAGTGTTACTATACTAAGAATTAACCATACTTTTAGAATTGAAGAGCTACAGTGGGTTACCAATGGTAACCTACCAATGGTAACCCACTGAATAAAAAAAGTAATCCATATGTGTGTATGTGTGTGTGTGTGTGTGTGTGTGTGTGTGTATACAATGAGATTTATATAAATATGAGATTTATGTAAATATATATTTATGAGATTTATATATCTTATAAAATTGATCTTTAGGATATGATATATAAATCTAAGAAAACAACTCCTAAAATTTTAGATAAACCACCAAAAGCAAAAGTGAAATACCTTAATTAAAATTCATTTAGTTACTGGTGTGGTCTAAAAATATGGTTCAAACTACGAAACAAAATTTTACCTTTATTTGATAAAATTTTTCCACATTAAATCCTGCAGTATTTGCCAACCTACGTAGATTTTCTTGAACAACCACCTTGGGATCTCTTCGTTTGGAACTACTGAAGAGATTGAAGGAACTAAGAGTTGGTATATAAGATATCCCACCTGTTCTTGTAGTAAATCCATGTATGAAAATATCTGTTGAAGACAAGTAATGAAGATTAAAAAGATTCTCCCAAAAGACTACAAAGCATTACAAAAGCCAGACTCTCCAGCAGACCTCCCTGATCACTTCAACCAGCTCTTATTGATCTGGCTTCTAATTTTGACAGCACTTTGTACCTCCATATGTTCTTATTACCTACTGCTGTTTACCTTCCATATGGGATTACTGCTCTTCAAAGGGTATCTTCTGTCTCAGACCTGTCTTTTTCATACCAACAGCACACAGCTCACAGTACATACTGTCTAACCAAGAAGGAAGATTGACTATTTTAAATTTCACTCTTCTGGGAAAGTATTAATGAGTTGATGTTTCAGAACTTCTAAATAAAAGATTTCCAGTGTTATAAATCACATTGTAAGGAAGGGCTGGGAAATTTGCTTAAAGCTAAATTTGTTTAGAACAAATTTGTTTATTTAGTATGGCTTTGAAGGAGTTTTCTCTTTTCACCCCTGACTCACAAGGCCATCCATAACACACATTGCAAATGATGCTAATGACCAGTAAGTGAACAAAAGAAAGGGTGGGGAGAGGTGAGCATCCTCTGAAGACAGACTGGATTTTTCACATATACAGAAAAACAACAGAGAATATTGAAAATACCTGGGATCAAAGGAGATGTGATAATAGTTAATTCTCCTTTCAGTGCTGGCAGACTTCTCAAATATGTTTCTATTTCACTCTGGATTTCTTCTAGTTCATGAGCTGTGATTGTGTTTATCTCAGTGGACTGTTTCAAAAGGCCATCCCTCAAAGTCACATGTAAATCTTCAAACTCAAAATTGTAAACCTCAGTGAAGAGACGATCAATAAAAGCCTTCATTAAGGTTTTCCTGTGTGCAGGTACAATTACCTTAATGCTGCTCAGATGTTTTTCATCTATTTTTTGTTTAATGGTATACAAAGAGGCAGCCATGCTGGGATTTCTAACAATCTCAAATTCTCTCATAAGAGTTAACAATCCATTGCTTGTTTCCAGTTCACAATTATCATGTTCACCATCCCTTTCACAGCTCATTTTCCTGCAATCCATTATGCAAAGAAATTTGGCCTTGGCAGCAAGGTGGTATTGGATGACATTCAATGTCTTCAATAATGTCTCATGGAAGTTTTCCTGACAGGTTAACTTCAAACCAAAGAGATCAATCAAAACTGCTTCTGCCATCCTTCAATAATACACAAAGTTTTTCAAAGAAGACTTCTATGCCAAACGAATTACCTGAAAAAAAGAAAAACTGGCACAAGTAAGAATACAAAATGATATCAATTTTCTTACACTTACAACAGAAATTTGTGGTGAATTAAAAACAAGAAGAATTAATTGTCTTTACCTTAAAAAGTAATCAAAATAGGGTTGTGGCTCAGTGGAAGAGTGCTTGCCTAGCAAGTGTGAGGCATTGGGTTCCATCTACAACACCACATAAAAAATAAAACAATACAGTCATTGTGTCCATCTACAACTAAAAATATATATATATTTTTAAAAGTAACAAATTGTACCTATACCCCTTCCAGAAAAAAAAAGACCACTATTAATCATAAGAGAAATATGACAAAGTCATCTTTTATTCTTTTTGTGAACATGTGGATACATCTTTCCAGAACAATAATTCTTCTTCTTTATTTTCTTTACATAGGAAATTTCAGTAGAAAATTACTTTTTGCCTTAGAAAGTCCTGTTTTTTAATTACAGGGTGTCAATCTACGTGCTCTATCATTGGTTCTGCATAATTGTTAAATTGGGTCACATCCCCTCATATGAAACATAGAGAGGCCTTAAGTTTAAGAGTTTAACCTGAAAATCGAATTTTTGTGGGATGGAAGCTGAGGGACTAAGGGACTTCCCTCAGTGTGTGCCTTCTGGGCAAGGATCACGGAAGCGGCCGCCACTTGGATCCCAGGCGCTTCCTACCTACCTGGTTATTCTGGTTGGCGCCCAACTCCTCATCTTCACGCGAGGTTAAAAGTCCCTCCCTGGTGACGCTTTGGGTGACCCCTTTGCCCGACCCTGTTCTCCCGCCGCCCCCTCGTCCTCTCCGCTCCCGCCGAATTTCATTTCGACAGCTGTGAGAGGGTGGCCACCCGCCTTTGCTGGACACCAGGGATTCCCACGCGGCATGTCTGTCGCCGCGGAGTCCCTGTCCACTGTGTGGCGCTCGGCTCCAGAGCACGGGCGGCAGCTCCGCACCCGCCCGGCTGCTCCACCGACCGCTCCCCGCCCACTTAGGGCTTTGGGACCTGCGGACAGACTCGCAGCAGCGCGGTTCCCCTTCTCGCGCCTCACCCTCGGCTGCTTGGCCTGTCTGCAGGCAGCTAGGCCACGACCCGCAGCCTCCCTCCCGACCCCGAGTCCGCCCGAAACCCGGAAGCCGCGAGCCCCACGCACCTACGTCCCTCACCGCGGCCGCGAGGCTCCGACAGCCTCCACTCCGGCTCCGGGTGGAAACCGGACTGCGGGGGCTCGGGGCCGGGGGTTCCCGGGACGAGTCGGCGACGAGGTCCCGCCGCCGCTCAGCAGTTCCGGGTCAGGTCCGCCGCTGAGGTTGCAGGCGCAGGAGCCGCAGCCACGGAAGACCCTCGGGCGGAGCCAGGCGGGTCCCGGGGCCCGAGGCGGGCAGGCCGGACCCAGAGCGGGGGCGCCGTGGAGTGGTCGCCAGGAGGGAACGGCGGGTCCTGTGAGGGCCGGGGCGGCGGGAATGGCGGCCGTCAGGCCGCGAGCGCGCGGGGGGCAGCAGTCCGGGCTGCGGGCGAGTCCTCTGAGCGGGTTGGAAGTCCCCGCACTGGCGCTTCCCGATGACCCGCTGAGCCAGCAGTGGGGCGGGGACACTTGGTTTAAGGAGCCCAGGCCCGATCCTGTCAAGTTAGCTCTTAGCGACTTGTCCCCTCCAGGTTCAAGGAATGGGCCTCTAGGGGGCGGTTGGTTAGTGTAGGTTTTTGTTTGCCTTTTGGTGATTCTGCCTTTCTTGAGAACAAGCCAATCCTCATGACAGCTCCCTCACTTTTATTGACTACACAAAGGTCGCTTATGCCCCTACCCTTTTTTGCCCTTCTTTAAAAATAGGTGCCTCTAATTGGCAGAAGGCACTGATTCTTAGAATCGTGTTAAAGATACAATTAAGCATGTGTTACATTTCCTCCAAGAATATGATTTAACAAATATTGAGCAGGTAAGGATGGAAGGCATGTGCTTTGTTAAAGGAGAAAAACTTCTGCCAATTACAGTCATTTCCTTTCACTTTCTAGTACTAAATTCATCTGTCATCCCATTACTCTACTTATCCCAGTGGTTTTCAGTCCTGGCTACACATCAGAATTAAAGTGGAACTTTAGAATAATAATAATAATGCAGGAAACCCCACCCCAGATATACATTGAATCAAAATCTTCTAGAGTCAGTCCTGGCATGTTTTGTTTTTCTTTCTTGTTTTTTTCTTTACAGTTGATTTAGATGCATAATTTGTTTTCAAAAAATAACAGCCTTCTTCCCAAGCCATTCAGAAAAAGGCTTTTTTTTTTTTTTTTGGATAGGCCACATGACTTAATCTTTTCTTTACATTTGCTGTTTGTTCTACTTAGGACATCCTTCTTTTTGTATGCCTGTTTTACTAATTGCTCCTTATTCAGTCTTCAAGCTCAAACATAGCCTTCCTTGAATTCCCATCCAAGCTGCAGAATTTGTTTCTTTAGCATTTTGTTCACATACCAGAAACCCTCTTTTGATATAGTCCAGACCTCTATCCAAACAATAAATTGAAAAAGTTGGTTAAACATTGAGTTGTATACTGTATACGGATGAACTTTATGTTATATAAATTATATCTAAGCACAGCTTTTTTAAAATAGAAAAGAGCAGTTAAGCCAGAAAATCATGAAAAAGTGTAAAATTATAAACTTTTATTTTTTACCTAAAACAGCTGTCTGCTCATTTGCCAATCTATTCAGAAAGCCCAGGGTCTTTTCTTTGCACATGGTCTACTGATTGGAGTTCTGTATTTTATCTCTTGCATAAGTCATACAGCTAACCCACTAGTAAGATTTCCCGAGATTTTGTTCCTTTAAGAGGAGAATAAAGGCAATTGTGAATTAATCTGAGTGCAATTTTAATCTTCATAATCTTTAATAGTTATCTTACACAGCTTTATTGGATCTTTCCAAAATATTAAGCATAGTTTTTAAAGAAATGAGGAACTTTATTTCCATGCTATTACATTTATGTATATAATATGTTATAAAAGCACAATATCAAATACAAGTGGCCTAAACAGATTGGGAACAAACACAAGTAACTCATAGGACCCCACATCTGGTAGTGCAGAAACAGGCAGCCTCATTGGAGAGTACTTTGCTAGCCATGAGCATTTAGCATGATATGGGAATTAGCCACTTATGATTTACAGAAGAAATAGGGTTAATTGCTTAGAGGTCAAATGTAGATAGGCTAGGAGAGCATCTACTCTGCTTCTCCATTTTAATTATTTGACTATATGTGTTCTTCCTCATAGAGATTTAGAACATATATTCTGAAGACAGAGATTGTGCCTTTCTTTTCAGGGGAACTGCTGGGGAAATCCCCAGACATTCTTACCCTAACATGTAAATTTTATGAAAACGTGGAATTTTAAAAACTTGTTAACATTGTTTTTAAGGCATTTGCACAACAGTTTATGGATCTTCTTAAAAGCTTGAACTAGTTTCCTGGGGCTGCCATACCAATTACCACAAACTAGATGGTTTAAAATGACAAAAATTTGTTCCCTCACAGTTGTGGATGTCAAGTTATAAAACAGAGGTGTTGACAGACTTTGTACTCTTTGAAGCTTTCCTTGCCTCTTCCATTTTTTGGTGGCTCCAGACATTTCCAGCCTGGTGACTACATGACATGGGGGTCTGTGCCTCCATCTTCACTTGGTCTTTCTGTGTGTCTGAGTCTCAACTCTCTGTCTACCTTTCTCTTATAAAGAGAGCTTGAAAATAAATGGAAGATCAACCAAATGAGAACAAGCAAAGGCTATTTGTTCAGAGATTGCAAGGAATTCGGCTACCATCTGCATTTTAGCTGAGTCAGAGGCAGGAAGTGGAGTGAGTATGACTTGATTGGAGGTATAGACTTAGGGAAGCTACAGGCAGGCTAATTAGAAGTGAGGCATCCAATGTGATTGATCAGGGGTGTATATTTGATGTTCTCTGGTTGGCCCCAAGTTGGAAGCAGAGATAAGAATTAGGGAAAATATCATCATTAATCAGTAGTGACTATTTGGGGAGTTCTTGTTATATGTGGTTTCCTAGGTTGTGTTACTAGAGATAGTGTTCTGACTTTCTACATGTCTGATTTATAAATAACAAATTGGCTTCCTGGACTGCTTACTTTAGATAGTGAGTCGGTTTCCTGGGTAGGTTGCTGCAGATTGTTTCTCAGAGTTCTGATTCTTTTTTTAATGGTCTGACCGTTGTATGTTTACATATTCATTCTTACACCTTCCATTGAATTTAGGGCCCACACAAAATCCCTTAACAAAACCACATCTGCAAAGATTCCTTCTTCTTTTTTCCCCACTTAGGGTCACATTCATGGGTTTTGAGCATTAAGACATGGACGGATGTATCTTGGGAGCAATCATTCAACCCACCAAAAATTCTTCTTGGTTTAGAAATGATGCCTGCTTGTTTAGAGAAAGAAGACAGAAACAAAAACCTTGTCCCTTAGTGTCATAAATAGACAGGCAGGTAGGTTATGACTAGATTTCACCAAAGACCTATTATTTCTATCACAAAGGCAGGGACATTTTGCGATGGTTGCCTGGGCATTCCTTAAAGCTTGAATTGGAGTTTCAGACCAACCCTTTGGTCTACACTCCCAAATGAGATGTTTTGGTAGGCACTACAAAACACGTCTATATATTCAGAGAAACTCCACCTTTGGTAGAAAGCTTGAAGCAATGTGGATAACATGAATACTGCCTGCATTATCTTAGAAAGTTAAGGAACAAAACAAACTTATCTAATTTTTTCTGTTTTCAATATCCTGAAATTTTCATTTCAGTGCCTGGTTAGAAAATGGAAAAAATCACTAGTTTCAGTAGATTCTAAGGCACTGGGATATAATAGGTATATAATACAATTTTCATGATTTGATCTATTAATTCCTTTTGGACGAAGGCTGGATAT